CTACTACTACTACTACTACTACTACTACTACTACTACTACTACTACTACAGTCTCCAAAAGTCAGCAATCACGTCTCCAAAACTAGCGTGTTGCACAAGACCTCCAAAAGTCACATCTCAAAGTCTCCAAAACGAGAATTTCGTACGAGACTTCCTCCAAAAGTCAAGCGGGAAGCCCCATCTGAGCGCACACATCAAGCAGCCCTGCCAGGCAATTTTGCGATTCCACCCCCTCCAGACAACACCCGCTCATACCGCCAACCCGAATGTCCACCTCCAACGCACACAAAGTATGCGCCTGCACGAAATGTGACCCAGACCACCAGAATTAAACGAGAACCCTTCGCTACGCATTCGGTAAACTGGACACCTTTTGTGTTTAGCTCTTCGTTTAAGAACGCATTTGCACACAACAAGCGACACAAATAACATGTTGTTGTTGCTGTTGTTGTTGTTGTTGTTTACACTTAAAGGTTCGAGACCGTCCACAAAAATAGTTATATTGTTGTTGCTGTTGTTGTTGTTGTTGTTTACACTTAAAGGTTCGAGACCGTCCACAAAAATAGTTATACATAAAACAAACATCAAAAAGCAAATAAACAAGCACACACGTAAACACACACACATAAAATTACACCACCGCAGACCCCAAACAGGTGGGACAACAAAGAATCATTCCCAAGTCCATCTTTGAGACATGGGAGACAAGATGGAAGACAAGGCGGACACAACGACCAACAAGAAGGGAGACAAAAGGAAACAGAAGGGAGACAAGATGGACACAATGACCAACGAGAACAAAACAAGGAGGAAGACAAAAGGAAACAGAAGGGAGACAAGACGGACACAGTGACCAACAAGAAGGGAGACGAGACCGCAGACAAAGGGAGACAAGAAGGAAGACAAGGTGGACGCAATGACCAACAAGAAGGGAGACAAAAGCAAACGCAAAGAAGACAAGACGGACGCAGTGACCAACAAGAAGGGAGACAAGAATGGAGACGAAGGGAGACAGAAGGGAGACAATACGTAGTCAGTGTCAACGGCACTGCCTCCTTGAGCAGCGAGCTGATCAGCTGCTTGCGAAAACAATCAATCTGTGCCCGCAAAACCCTCATCAGTGTGTTGGATAACAAAAATGGTGTACCTCCTGGGACTATGGCTACCTTTAACCACACTTGACCGATTGGGAGAACTAGGGCGTGGTTGCTTTGCAAGGTCCCTTGATTTCCAAATCGAAAGACCATTTGGCAGGCACAGCGCTTCACTTGCTTGCGGATGTCGGGACTCAAAAAACTGGCGAGCGGCTCGGACACATGATCACCCTATCACAGTCTTAACCAACAAGAAGGGAGACAAGAAGGGAGTCAAAGGGAAACAGGAAGGGAGACAAGACAGACGTGACCAACAAGAAGGGTTGACGAAAGGAGACAGAAGGGAGACAAGCCGGACGGAACGCGGAGACGGTGTCCCGCAGCAAGGCGGACACTCTTAAACATTGGGAACCCCTAGTAGCAACCTGTTTGGGGAAAAACTCTTGGGGGAACCCACAAACAGCTTTTGTATGATGGTTATGATTCCTGTTTTGCTTTTGCGTTCTTTGGCGAGCAGCCAAACCAAACGCATGCAAATGACAAACACACCAAGAAACCGTAAAGGCAAAGCGCACACACAGACCAAACAAAAAACACGCGTGGGTTTCCCATTATTTATCCCAATGAGGTTGTTCTTCGCGTGCTTCGGTTCTATTAGGTGTTTTGGGGTGTTTGTTTCTTGTAGTTTGCTGTGTTAGTCCAAAACAAAGTGCTGTATGATAGCCACAGTAAAGGCAAGTTACTTCACGTGTCCCCTTCAATGGTGTGCGTGTCTTTACCCCGCTCCTTTGTTTAAATTGTATGTGCGTCTAAACTATATAAAATCAGAACAGCTATCATTGTGCGTCTAAACTATATAAAATCAGAACAGCTATCATTATACATTCTAATTCAATGCCTTTTCAGGCAGCCATACATGAAGCCCACATCAAAGTCACTGACGGGTGACCAGTAGGACAACAAACAAACCGCAAGCCATCGCAAGCCCCTCATGAAAAAAACATCGTTGTTTCATTGAGGCAAGTTGGTCTCTGGTATCTTCTTTTCAGCCTTCCGTGAGAAACCAAGCTGCAAGCTCATCCTCTGCGTTGACAAAGCCAAACCCAACAATGCAGTTGGTGTCAACAGGGAGCCATGGCTCCCAAACCTCAGGTCATTGCACTATATTAGCATTAGTTACCTACAAAAGAGAACATAATGGCTTCACTATGTCAAATCAAGTTTAAAAGAAAAACGGAAACCGCCAACTTATATCATCAAATGCCGCATCTCCAGTGTGAACTCGTTGGCAGTTCTGAACCCTCTCCGGCCACAAATATAGAGAGGCTCTTTGGGAAACGCACGGTTTTGTTTCCGACTTTCCTTTGCATTCTTGTTTAATGTTTCGTAATGAAAGGCTATGAGGTCCGATCATATATTTTTGCTATGGTGGCGATTGGCACCCTGCTCGTGCCGTGGTGATGACAAGTAGAACCTGGATAAGGGAGACCAAGCTGGGCTCATAAAAAAATGATCGGGGTCTATGAAACGATTCCCGAGAGAGTGAACTTGATTCCATTTCTTCGAGATCAAGTGAAGTGAATTCAGTGGTTTGGGAGGAGAAGGGCATGATTGCCAAATAAACGTTAAAAAAACATAACACATCCAAGAAACTGGTCGATTTGACTTGGCCCACTCGCAGATTTGCGTGCGAGCGTCGTCCTGATTGTTGAAGAAAGCAAGTTCTCCCATCTCTGGTGGGAAAGTGATCGCCGAGCTTAACCTTGGATTTGTTGTCGAGGAAACCAGGAAAAGCAAACAAATGCTCCCCTATTCTCCAGGGGAGTCACCCAGGAAACGGGGCAATAAAACATCACCCGAACTAAACAATACCCAGTAACTGAGCAACTTGACCTTTGTCAATTTTGAGCTTGTCTACCAAAACCCTGGCTCGAGGTGCATGACGCGCTAATAGAGCACTACCATACTTATTAAGTGTTATGCCCGCAGATGCCGTCCTGTAGTTGCCCTCTGCATGTTCTAAAGCATTGTGCTCTGGAAGCACCAGTCTGGACTCATCTAGATCTGTGAATTCTCCTTCATCTGGTTCCCACCAATAATGCAGCACATCATATTGCCTGACCAATTCCTGGAACCGAGTAATATTCGGCGGTCGTCCAAAGGCAAGTGGAAGATTGTGAACCGTCGCCCACTGCAGAAATGGGTTCAATGTATTCCAAGCGGAAAGGACTGGAATGCATTGAGAAGGATTGTTTCGGCATGCAGGGGACAACCAAAATCGCCCATCAGGGCACCTGGCCACATATCCTTCTGGCGTCGCCGTCACACCCTCAAGATCTCCAGTCCACTTCACATAGTTTGCCCAAATGGCCGTGTTGGTGAAATCCGCACCCCAGGTGGTGGAATCGCTACACAGAAGAAAGTCTTCCATCTCAAGTTCAGACAAACCATGGAAAAATCTCACTGGCTGATGCACGCTTGCGTTGTAGTTCCTGTAGTACTCCAGGGCCAAGGCAGCGTTTCGATATGCCGCATCTCGAACTGGACCTTTGACATAAATACCTGAGCGGGACTGGCGACCAAGTACCTGGGCTCGCCCATATGTATATATGGAATATAATGACACACATATATCTTACAAGGGGTCCCCGGTGCGGGGACAGCGGGCCCGCTACTGAGCTGAAACTCTGTGTTATTCATGCATACCTATCTGCTGTGCAGTAAACCTATAAATACAAATATATATATATATATTGAAATAATATGGAGGAAGCGCTGCCCTGGAGAAACCAGAAGGATCCAGAAAGTCTTTTCACAGTGCCGCAAAAAACAACAGGAAGGCATGACCAGTACCCCCCGCAAACAATTCCAGCCATGAACGATTTCCTTGAAGAATGTTTCAAGAAACCTCAGCAAACCCTATCTGTGAAGATCATGAAGAGTATGGATATTCAACACTGACTACCAAATCACATCAAACCGCCCATGGTTCTTCAATGTTCTTCAAAGTGACTCTGTTTGCGGTCGATTGACACTGTCAAACCCTGAACGTTGGTCACTTCGAACGACATCAAACAAAACCTTTAAGACAAGGGACCCCAGGTGAAGATGTACCCCATGTCCCCCAGGACCTGTGGTGCTCGTTCCGGGTGTCGTGCTCGAAAGGATTCGATCAGGTTCGGGTCATCTGCCTGGAAATCGCATGGAGGGAAAGCTTCTGAGAAGACATTGCGAACTTCCAAATACATTGCCACGCCATGAATTCAATACATCTCCCAAGATGTTTTTGTGTCACACTCCATCACCGCCATATGTTTTGGTCTTTTTGGAGCACTTCTTGATACTTCTTACCAAATGTGTGGGGCATTTGCAATGTTTTCTGGAACCTGCAGGGCCACTGTGGGGAAAAGCGTTGTACTTGGCCATGGACTTGCGCGCGTCTGTTGGTCCGAAGATGTTGTTGGTTGTTGCGTAGGGTCTGCAGTAGCAAGTTGATGTCACATGCAGAGTTGAAAAAATGGGGGGTTGGGTGAGCGGGTGTGAAGGAGGACTGCCGCATGAACCCTTTGAGGTCTAGGCAATGTCTTTGTAGCTCTATAGGTCTTTGAGCCTTGAGGAGGCCGAATTACCGGTGTACCTTGGGACGCGATGTTAAAACGAAAAACCAACTTCAGAGGGCAGATTGCCCCACTATAGAATCACATATCAACCTCCTGCAGTGCTGCAAACATGTTCTCTATAGAATGAGGCGCCTCAAGGTATTGGTGTTCATCATCATGAAGATTTGATAGCAACAAATGGGAGAATCAATGATGCAAAGCCAAGGTTGCTATTGAACTATGGAGAAGCGTGGGAAATATCAAAGTTGAAATTGGGGTTTGAATCAACACAGGACAAAAGTGGCCCAAGAGGTTGGTATTGATTTTATAGTAAAGTCTCGCGGCTCTTCCTTGCCCAATCCTTTCTCTAAATATAAAAAAGTCCTTTGTTTACAAAACGCATTCCATGTACGGCTGTGTGGGGGCATGCTACCTGTTACCGTGCTTGTGGTCATACACCTTACAACAGTTTATGTTTCTGAGGCCAATATGAAGCAGTCATGGGAAAGTAAACCTCCCCCAGACGTGGATTTCTATTGATGATTGGGTGATGCCCTGTTTCTACTCCAGTTCATCTCGCTCACACAGGGCTTCACAAGTTATCGGTTATATACATATATAGACTATATATCTATCTACCCCTTGAGAGGGTGATGTCAGGTGCACTCGGCTCTTGAGAAGTTGGTCTTAGTCTTGTACACAGCGCCGGGGGATACAAAGCCCAAGCACGGCAAAACAAACCAACGCATTTAAGAACCTGGTAGGGTGATGGCTTTGCAACGAAAAGACATGCCCCGACGAAAAAAGACATGGGACATCATGGGACTATTTGGGAAGTACACGTTGGTCCGACATGAACTGTTAATGTCGCACCAAATCTGCCGACACCGGTCTAGACTGATGAACGTTCGCGTGAGCGGGGCCGGCGTGTTCCTGTTGAGGGGCTCTGGTGAGCTTTGGGCGATACAGTCCCGTTTCGTTGACATTTGTCTGTATGTTTCCGCTCTTCTGCGTCAGCGTCAAGGTTTTTTTGTCGAGAAAAGCGGTGTCCAGGCTTGGGTCCCGGGTTCGACTCCCCCTTGCGCGTCCCGGACCCAGTCCGGCACCCCTTGGATTGAGGCGGTGCGGGATTAAAGCCAGGCACATGGCAAGGTACCGCGCGCGCCGCCACCAGGCGAAGATAAGGACCCCGGCAGCGCCCGCGTGCGGCTTTTTTCCTGCACCGCCTGGTCTGCAGTGGCAATAGCATTTTGTGCTTCTGCTTTAACAACAACAACCACAAGAGCAACAACAGCAATAAAAACGACAACCACAACAACAACAACAACAACAGCATCATTAACAACTACTGCTACAGCTACTGCTACTGCTACTGCCACAACAAGAACAACAAAACCACAACACGAGCAGCAATAACAACCACAACCACAACCACAGCAGCAACAACAACAACTACAACAACCTAGAACAACAGCAACAACAACAACAACAGCAACACCAACGACCACGACAACAACGCCTGCTGGCCCGCTGGTGGGCGTCTGGTCCGCTGGTGGGTGTCAGCCCCTTAAATAGGATGGCCTCCATTCAAATAGCGATGGCCTCCAACCTTAATAGCGATGGCCTCTAACCTTCATAGCGATGGCTTCCAACCTACCAATGCGCACTAACATTAAAACAAGGGGGCACACAACACATCTCTGTATGAACATCATGTTTAAAACAAGCCAGGCCACTGGAAACGCATCAGTCACGATATGAACCGCATCAATGGACTGGTTGCACTCAGCATTTGCACAACCTGCAATTTTCGACATGAGCTCACCGGGAGAAGGAAATCCCAAGAACACGGTTGGCGCCATATGATATCCGAGCACCTCAGAGATCAACGGGAGCAATCCCAAATGTGGCATGTCACCTGAGTTCTACACAACAAAACATGTTGCTTGAAAAACCTTTATAGGCAGGAGTTCATTAATTGTGGACTCGGATGCCCCTTCATCACTGTGGTTTTCCTATATGTTGCTTCCACGCACGGAGTTCACCGTGAAAATACATGCGCCGAAATCCGTTGGGGTGGGGGTTTGATTTTGATTTCCTAGCAACCTCACTGGATGCGCCTATAGACGCAGTTAGGCACAAACTTTCCTGTTGGACACAGCTGTAGAATCGGTTTGTCCTCATCTTGGCTGCAGGAGGTGATGACAACAAAACTTGCAGGAGGTGTGTTTCAATGTTTTCGTCCGATCAAGGGTACGTAACTAAGCACAGTTAATCGAGCTACAACATGCTACAACCTGATTTTTTGTTCATGGTGTGTGACCGGGTATTGCAGAAATGTTTGACATCATGCTGAGATGGTAGGGTGCCAAAGGCAATGGAAGCCACCAAGGACCAATGACCGGTACCCAGAGGAGAAGGTAGCTAAGCTGCCTGTTCAGCTAGTGGAAGATGCCGCCACAAAAAGGCTGCAAACACCCCGGATAGGTTCGCTCATGAGAGGGAAGAAGGATGTCTTGTGGCCTGACATCTGGCACTCCTTGGATTTGGCAGGTGATTCTTCCTTTGAGGAGAATGAAAGCTGGAAGTTGAAGATCTCAGGACATGGGCTTCTCATAACCGCGCACATCCTTGAGTTCCGCAAGTCCTCCTAAGCTATGCAATATGGAAGAGCTGTGGCAGTAGTTCATGGAAGACCAAACTGAGATCGAGTCGAAAGCCTCGTGATTTTCAAAGTGAACTTGACCCAGTGGCGAAATGGATCAAAAACATCAGAAGAAACGTTGACTGTTCCTTTTGCCAGCTGAGTGTGGATCAAACCCTGGAGATAGACTTGCTCAGCGGCATTGGAGGGTTTGAGGGGGCCTCGCAGCAATCTGGTCTTGGGCCTCAGCCTGCTGGCGCTCCGCAGCCGCATGCCAGCGGCTCAAAAGAAGAGTATGCCACAGAGTGCGCCTGTGACTAGTAAAGTTCGCAAACTCATTAAACATGATCTGATCACAGCACTAGGCTCCGTTCCGCTCGGTTCCTGGGTGTGCTAATAGGGGTCGGGCTGCCTCAAACGGAATTCCCCGCTTTCTCGAGGCCGATGGGTACTAAAGTTTGTCGAGGCGCTGGTGGTCACTCTGCTAATATGAGGCCTAAGCCCTTGTCCTCCTGGTGAACAGTGGAGTGAGCAAAGGAAAAAGGTTGCGAGCTTACTGGGCATCAAAAGGCATCCTAAGGCCCTTCAGCGGGTCCATGGCGTGATGCTGAAACAGGTCGAAACCCATGGAGGACTTTTGACTATGCGCCAGATCCTTTGGAAGCTTGCTTGAGGCCTGATTGCAAGTGGCCAGCTGGCAATGATGATCCAGATGTTGAGATTTCCCAGCTTCACACTGCATAAGCCGAGACAGCAAAAAACAGCGGAGGCGGTGCCTCAGTTATTCTTTTCTTAGGTCGCAGTCATGGTGAAGACTTTAGCTTGGGAGGTAGGACCTCCTGTGGCAGAACATAGCAGAATGCCCTACTTTCCATGGGCAACAGTCGCTGAGGCATGGGGCTGAAGCAGCCAAAAACGGGTCCGCAAGTCATAGAGGAGCACGGGGTCGCTGAAGCCTTATCTTGCACTTGGAACCAGTCAAGTTGGAACCGGTGGAAGAGCGGCAAAGTGCGCTGAGAGATGCCCCTGCTTAATTGACTCTACGAGAGACAAAAGAGGCACAGGCACTTCCGAGAGTTGAAGCTGAAGGATGCAAAAGCCTTCGTTTGCAGCGGAAGCTCCAGGGAAACAGAATGGCATCTGGATCTGCCTAGCCTGTAATTACCGGCCAAACTCGTTTCCTCAAGTGGATTTAGGCGGACAGGTCAATGTGCCCGAAACTGAGGAAAACCAGCTGTGACACATGGAGACCCAACAGTACTGCAGGTGTGCAGAAACGACCCTTGGCCCTGGGTATACTCAGTCTTGAATGAAGGAAGAACGCACTGGTGATTTGTGGTGCGAAGTGGGGATGATTTAATTTATAACTGGAGGTCCAAGCATGGCAGAAGTCTGGAGGTCCCAAAGTACCAGAGCAGTGATTCTCCACGTAGAGCAGTAATTGCCTGGTGGCAAGTAATCCTGTTCATATCATGCTGCGCGGATCGTGGGTATTGCGTCCTATTGCCATATCCAAAATTACGGAAAGAAAAGGTTTGGTGATAGGAACAAGTGCATCGCTAGTAGTAACAAGTGCCTTACTAGTAGTAACAAGAAGCTACTAGGAACAAGTGCATCGCTTCTAGATCTTCTAGTAACAAGTGCCTTACTTGTTGAGCTTGTGAAGCGAACGAAAAAAAGTCACCCGTGTTGAGGCGAATGAGGTCAAACATGAAACGAGGTCAAATTGACTGAGACCGTCCTTGTCCCTCCTTTTTTTCCGACCCAGTCCTTCCTATACGGATCCGCGTCGGATCCACATACGAGAAAAGGCCTTCTATATACATCCTTCAGTTCTAAGTCAACAGTCCAAGTCCCTGTAATTACGGGACTCAAGGAGAGAATGATGTACGACTTTGATGCTCCCGCCAAAGCAAAAAGAAGATGGCAAAGGATCTTCAGTGGTGGGTGACGTGGCCTCAGGAAGTTTTGCAGGAGATTTCATGTACAATCATGAGTTATAATATATATATATATATACATATGTGTATATTCAAATATTCAACTATTACTATAATTTAAATGCAAAGTACGCGATGTACACATACGGGGCCTGGTTTACTTGATGTTGTCCCGGATCAAGCCCAACACATGTTACCTGCGGACTCAGGATAATTAACATGAACAGCTTGACGCTGATCATTGATGTGATTAATTGCGCACAAACGGAACACAACAACACATTGACGGACCTACAGGTTGCTCTGGTGCTCGACCCTATGCCACCAATGACTTGGAAGTCCAGACTTGGAGATAGATAGATAGATAGATAGATAGATAGATTGATAGATATAGATAGATAAATAGATAGATAGATAGATACTCCAAGAAAATTGAAGATAACTCTTCAAAAGTCCTCCTAGAATACAAGTCGATCGAAGATTGTCATGTTTCGGTGGGTGCTGATGCGGGTCTTGATGGGTAGTTCCAACTTCTGGCCTCCTACCTAATAGCAATGGCCTCCAACCTACTAGCGATGGCCTCCAACCTAACCTACTAATGGCTGGAGGCCATCCAGTAACAAACTATGCGGAACTGTTCAATGTGCTTCCGATTAATTGGCAACAGCTCAATGTTATTGGACTAGTACAAGTTTTTGGCCCCCTTGGGCTTGAAACGTCTACTCTTCCTTTTGCCAGGTCTTGACAAGGCCACATTATACATCCAAATTTCTTAGCTGGGCTGTCTTGGGTCGTTTCGATCTCCACGGCACTTCAGAGATGAGCAATTCAAGCAAAGCGTTGACTCCGATGGCTAAGTTCCACCTCATAAAGCAGGAAACATCGCATGTCCGGACGTGTGGGCGGAAGTCAAATATTGGTACCACCTGGCCACCACCAATAACAGCGAAAACTTTGTGTAATTATGGATATATAACTCACATGATACATGGCATACACGGAGAACACCAAGCCACTCAATTCGTAGACTGAAGCACAACAAAGGCAAAAAAAAAAAACACCAGTACCAGCACAGTGGTGTTTTCCATTCCAGCAAACCCCCACCTGAAACTGCCAATTTGGATTGGGATTGGGACACCTTCTTGATCTTGAATGAAGTGTCGGCGCGACCTTGGCTCTGCAAACCCCGGATTCACTCTCAAACTCATGTGCGCATAGCGCGGACAAACAAAAACAACAAGACAACTTCACACACACAAAAATATAAAAGACAACGTGTCGAAAAAGGTGGGCATTTGCGGCGCTACACGAAAACCAACATAACAAACACATGTCCAAACAAATGCATACCTGGACACATGGGAATTGATTCAGGAAAACAGAGCGATTCAGACGCGCCGACCATCACAACGGCCAAGCACGAAAGAATGCTGAAAATATTCATGGCCCGGCTTTGATGGCTCAAACTGGCTACAATGGTTTGAGCAAATGAAGGCTACTAGGCAGCAACATCCAAGAATCAATCTGATACGTTGAATGGGTTTCAATATGTGTTTATCGTTCTCAATGACATCTCCATCTGCAGGCAACCGGTGTTGGTGCTGATGAAACCCCACATGACGTACACCGAATACAAATCAATTGGGAAGCAATCCAGATTTCCCAAACCCCGCCAGCATGAATGTCAAAATGTCATGTGCAAACAGTGTTTCTTCACCTCCAGGGAGCAAAGGCACGCCATGTGCAACTCATAGTGCCACTGAGTGGCGTGGCAAAACGGACTCGAGGGAGGTGTACCTAAACGTCCAACCAGGAACTCCAGTTCGTCTCTGTATACCAGGGACTGTCTCTGTATACAAGTTCCTGTTCGGGCCGGATTACATGTCCAGTGTAGGGTACTATGGAGCAGATCTATGGGAAGAGTTCGCTTTGAATTCGTCCAATTGCTATCTCCAGCAGATCACTTGTGCCCAGCTGTCAGGTATGTCCAGGCGGAGCTCCTCCTCCCGCTTGCTCCTCCTCTTCCTCTTCCTCCTCCTCCTGCCCCCGAACTTCTCCGCCGCCTTGTCGGGTGTAGCTAGCTTTCGGTTTGCGCTTCGGGCTCTGGAGTTGTGTGCCCTGGACTTTTGACGATGCCGGCTGCGGAGGGTTCTTTCGCTGTGGGCGCCATTGGCAGAACTCCGGCTGCGGAGTGGTGCGGAGGGATGCATCCGAACAAATCAAAGAAGAGCAAGTGCCGAAACATCTTTAGAAAGAAAACATGTCAGACTTGATGGCATGACAAGTGCGGGAACACATGCCAAAAAGGATGTCAGAACGCATTGCAGAGCAGTTCCCAGCCTTTAAGCTAGATGATGTCTCAGCACAAATACCCGAATTGACGCCAAAGCAATGTCAAAACACTGTAAAATGTAAGCGTTTGTCCGGATAGTCGGGCAATACATTTGCCCTGCCTTCAATCGTCTCTCAGGGTGGGCTCAACACTTGAAGTCAACCACATTGATTGAATCAATATTGAATATTGTTTTTTGTGCTGCGCTACGAGTGGTTTGCTGCGCTAGGTCCTGGTTCTGTGCTAGGTCCTGGTTTAGACTGACTCCCCCAGTCTCAGAAGCTGGATTGGGCGAGTGATTCGTCTCTCCAAGATTAGACTCAGCAGCTCAGCTCACGACAAAGGCACGTCCTCGCGCGACCGAAGTTGATCAAGCTACAGAAAGCTGGTTGGTGGTTTCAAATTCACTTGACGAGTATCAGTCAGTGGGTTCAATCACTCAGGTTAAGTAAAGGTTGAACACAAATATATAGTGTATATATAATATGTATGAAACCCAGAAAGCCATTCTACAAAGCTCGACCGCCTGAGCCAATTCTTGCTGCGCCCAAAGGACTTGCAGGTCAAAAACATTCTCTCAGATCACTCAGGAGGTGTGAATCTCCAGCCACATCGAGTGAAGCAGCAAATTCCTCGACAAAGTTCATCGTGCGATCCATCTACAGCGCTACACTTCATCTTCTATAGGAACCACATCAACATTACGTCATTTATTCATTTCTTCGCCGCAACATACAGCTCATGTGTTTTTTTCGTGCTCATTTCACTCAGCCTGTCTTCACTTCCTCAGTGACCGGAGATGTGACCATGCGAGGAGAGGCCGGAATTCGGGACCGACCTCGGTCTAGCCGTGTTTCATGACCCCTTCTGACCTGGTCCTAGGGAAGCAGATGTATGAGACGAGGACCACTCACTGACGTGTTTGAATGAACGAGTTTCAACCAGATTTGAGATGATTTGACCTGCTTTTGGGGCTCTTTCAGGGTCTTTTGGGGGGTCCCCTATGTCAATGCAAAGCCTTTTCTTTACTGGTACAGTAGTTTCTCTTGTGACCTTTTATTTGGATTTGGGAAGGTGATTTCTAGATTTTGCTTCCGCAAAAAACCAGGCCGGTGTTGTTCTTCCGGGGGTTTTCCTCCGACTCCGAAGCTTCGCTCATCCTTCGTGGGGTCAGTCCTCCAAGCAAGTCCACATGACTGAGGCCATGAACGCCATTGAAGGTATCCAAAAAGATGTGGTTATTGGGAGCTTGACGGCTCTATTGGCAAACCGTCCCCAAATGGCTCAGGTGTATCCACAGGTGTGTGTCGTAAGCAATGCAAAAAAGGGTGCCTTTTGTATGCCTTGGTTGTCCTTTTCCAAGGTCCACATTCCACGCCGCACCCAAAAATGCCGCCCAGCATCAATGAACATGTCCCTGGTCGATCGTGGGTGCACAATGGTCCGCCCAGGGTCCTGGCGGTTTCCAGGATGAGCTGTCCCACTGGAGACCGGAGATTGGGATGATGGAATATGAATCGCCCGCGCCCACCACGCGGCAAAAAAAGAAAACACGCCCACCACGCGCTCTCTCCCGGCCGCGTCTCTGTTCTTTTTAAAACGTGTCTCTGATCGACTGATCTATCTATGATAGTTCTATCTATGATAGTACCACTGCCATAAATAATTTTATCCATGGGGAAGGCATCAGCTGGCCCCACTAGAGAGAGAAGTCACCGAGTGCTGAAGGAATTTAATTTAGATTCACCTGGCCTGCCCACCAGGAAATCAAACAAAACAATCTCCTCACTGGAAAAAATATCCGTCATTGCTAGTCAGTCGTCTGGTGAGAAAGAAAAGTCGTTTGGTGGGATCTGCTGAAGGCAAATCCCGAGTTCTGACATCTTCATCTTGGGGATCCTTGGGGTGAAGAACTTCTGGGATTGCACTTTTGATGGCGTATGCCCAGAAACACCCTGGTCCTGTTCAGAAATGACCATGGCACAAGTTCACCCAACTGGAAGAGTGGCCAGTCACGACTTGCCACAATCCACCATAGGGTTCTCAGGTTCGAACTGATCCTCCCTCAGAAATCCACATACCTTCTCTGAAGGTACTTGGACCCTCCACATATCATAATAGAGTCCCCAGTCACCTTCTCAGAGCGTAAGTGGATCCAAAGGGCCTGCAAAAAGCCTCCATACATCTCCATACCACTTTCTCAGAATGGATGTGGACACATGATAAGACCTACTTCGCTGGAGCTGGTGCTTTGTTCAACACCAAAATCAAGGCTGGCTAAGGGAAAAGGGGTCCCTTGCCTCGCAGCTGGATGATGGACCCACCGCAGTCAGACGCCCGGCTGGGGCTCTTCGAGCCATCTATGTACAGAACCTTTTTGTGACATTGAGTGACCTCTTTTATGGATCACCAACTGCACCAATCACCCCAAAATATGGTCCTTTCCTATCAAACTATTTCAAAACTCCTATCAAAACAGGAATCATGTACGGGTTCAAGGAGCTATAGCGACAGCGACTTGGGACAGATCAGAGATTCATGGATTCTCTGGGACGTACAAGTCCAATCCGCCAGCGTGCTGGGGGCGCGGCGGGAGCTGTTCTTTTTTGTCGGAGCCCACCCTTACTTAATTCAGTATAGTGACCTGCTACTAGTTATCAAGTAAGGGCTAAACAAACTACTAAGTAACCTGCTACGAGTTAGTTTGTGACCGCAACGAAACCAGGTCACTCTTGGGGCACTGCCCATGGTCTGGGCCGTTCTTTTGAGTTCCACTGAGGTTCGAAGAAGGTCCTCTCCCAAGATCAGTGGATGTCGCAAAGGCCTTGGGCTCGTTTTGAGGCTAAGCAGGGCGAAGCGAGCGGCTAGAACCCGCTTCGCTCCACCGTGGAAAACATGGAAAACACCGAGCATATATGTGATCACTCAATCAATTGCAATGACGGTTCTTTGTTTTTCATGGAAATCGGGTGTGCGTTGGATTGGGGACGCTTCAGGTTCTGGTTTGGAACGGAATGGTAGTGTCATTCGTCGTTGATCAAGCCGCTAGTCCAAACATATAAGCTAAGATAAGCTAAGTAAGCAATAGTTACACTTACAGCACACTTCCTGGAACTAAGATGGAAATCGAAAACCGCCTGTTTGTAGAGGACAATTGTCTTCTAAGGGGCCATGTTCCACTTCCATGTTAGTTCCAGGGAGTGTAATTCTAGGATTTCTAGGGTTGGAGCAAAGATTTCCCCAAGCTGCAACACTGAGGGTGATGGTAATTGGTGGGGTGTGGCCTCCAGCATACAAGTCTTCCCTCCTTTGTAGGGTGGGTGTCCAGCCCTTAGCAAATAAGATATCGCTAAAATTAATGTTGATCAATCCCAGGCTTTCTGCAAAAACCTTCGTCTGTTTGGAGAAAGGCATCCCCTTGGGTCAACGGGAAGGGGAGGCAGGCATGGAAAAAAACAGGTTGGTTCATGGGCTCACCCCACCCTCCATTCATGTTCAGCGCTTGGGAAGCTGTTGTTGCCACGAATGGTTGATCCAAAACCCTCTATATAATCATGTTATATTATGTTTATTTTTGTTCATGCAGTGCTACTCAGCCGTCTGGCTAGGAGTCTCCCTCTTTGACACCCATCTTCCCACTTGTGTCCCAATGCCTGTCTGCATCATTGCTTAAAAGCTCAGCATACTCGAAGAGCGGGCCTCAAACAAATGCAAATGAACAACAATGAAGAGTATGAGGAGCTAGTTGGAGACGGTCAGCCGACGGCATTGATTGAAACTTGTGAATTCGAAAGTTGCCTTCAACTGGCAATCTGCAACGACAATTACAGTACAGTATTAGGATTGTGATTGGCCTAGTCCATGAAAGTGGCCTAGTGGCCAATCCGGAAGAAAAAACAATACCTTCAGCAATCCAACCTGAGATTTCCCAGGGCTCCAAACCCTCAGAAGGTACTTAGACATCCCTGTAAAATTATTTTGGTGATCTTGGCCACTGCATTTTGTAATAAGGGGTTTCTACAAGAACATAGGGCTTCTGTCTGGCTCTACAAATCAGGGGGCTGCAGGAACAAATTCGCTACAAAATGACAGGATTGGCAGAAGATAATTTGTCTTGCTACTACTACAAAATGTGAATGCCAAAAGCAGAACGCATGCCGCTGTCTCCAAGTTCATGTTTCTACAAAATGAACATTCGAAGGATCAGGGTCTACAAAATGCTTGTTGGAATGACACTGGCCGTCACACTCACGACCAAAATCTGTCTACAGAATCCTAGGTCCTAGGTCTCAATATATCTCAATGATCTTTATGGTCAATAAAAGCTCTTTGTCTACAAAATGACCACCCCATTGTTTGTTTTGCAAACAAAAATGGAGGTCTTATAGAGGTCCCAAGACCTCCCATGTTGTAGGGCATTCTTTTCACGGGGATACTTAGACTTAGACTCTCAAGGCAAACCTTTCACTGGTTGGAGCCCTAACTGTAGGAAATGAAGGTATCCGGTTCATCCGCTCTGGGCAATCTTAATGGATTCATGTCCAGTTAGTCACTTAGTCTAGCACTTCGGATAGCTTCAGCGATCCCCAGAGTCTGTTCCATCTACCCGAAGAGTTGGAGAGTACCATTGACCTGGACTTGGGCGAAACACACATTTCAGAGTCGTTGGTCAGAAATCCCCTCGTGTTTCCAAGGTGCAGTTTCGCGGCTTTGCACAGTTAGGTCAAGAAAGTCGTGTCAAAACCATCCAGTGCTGCCACGCAAAATCCCGTCGACGGTCGGTCGGTAGTGGTGGATCCGGTCGCGGCGATCGGTCGGTCGGTCTCAGCTTCGTACCGATCAAAAGCCCCGAGAGGCCCATCTGGACGACCCGGGCCATGGAACCCACCCAAAGGCCTCGCCAGCCTCGCGAGATGTGACGCAGGAGGGCAAAGAAAGCTGCCCTAAGGGCCTTCAAGCCCACAGATCATGGATTTTTTGCAGGTCTTCATGATGTTTCATGATTTTCTTTATGGTTCTGATGGGCTTTTCTATAGCAGATTCTATACAACTCTGTCCTAAGCCGTCTGTTGCATTGGTGCCATAGGCGAATGGAAATCATCACTGAGACAAGTATCCAAAATCCAAAAAACAGTGTCTTTTTTGTTGGTGAGTCAAAGCTAACGTGAAAGACATGAACTTCAAATCACATTAAAACAAGGGATATAATTGATCAATGGCCAGTTTTCATGTAGATTGAACTATTATAAAAATTCCACATGCCCAAAGAACAACAAGTTGCCAAGTGCTGACTGAAAGTCCCTGTTCTATCCAGGATGCCTTGACGTCAACTCTTCAGAAAACTTGCGGCGACTCTAATTCTGTGCCCTCCTAGACCTGGGTCCCGCCCCTTAGGTGAGTGTGACGATGTGAATCAATCGAGCATGTTGAGACCAAGCTCCTGAGGTCGTATACCTGCAACATTGAGTATACGTGGCTCCTGGCCAGTGCTTGGGTGGATGAACACACGGAGTATAGTGAGTTGCGGAAGTCAAAAGAGGGAACTAAAACGACTCCAAGGGTACTTCGCGTGGCCTTGAGCCTTGAGCCTTGAGACGTCTGTTCACCCTGGGTGGACCAGTCCAGTTTGGAGTGATCAGGCTTTCTGCATCCTTCTGCTCCAACAAAGCGAAGACTTCCACCAGCTTCAAAGACCTTTTTCGGCGTCCCCAAGGGACCTTAGGTCCTTTACAGGTCAGGTCTAAGTAACCTCTAATCAAAGGGGGATGAAGTTCCGTCACGATGAATCAGGTAGACAGGTCTTCGGTCATCTTCGGGTGGGACCCAGGCCCGGTCCCCCACCTGCCATCGCCATGGTCTCCCGGAAGGTCTTGCCCACACGGGCCACCTACCCGTTGCTGGGAGGTCCAGGACGCTACGAATGTAGCTCCTGGCCTTACCACTAGTAGCAAGAAGCTACCGGGAGCAAGGGCATCGCTACTAGTCTTAGTAACAAAGGGCATTGCTGCATTCTTGCTACTAGTAACAAGAAGCCACTAGGGGCGGAGGCTCTGACAAGGACGCTGACAAGGACAATGGCTATACTCTATACTGAGAAGCTGCTGGTAGTAGAGTCTAGATCAGGAACACCTTGGTGATATCTGTGGGAGATGTGAAGTGAAAACGCAGTGATCTGGACAAGCTGGGATTTACAATTCCAAGAGGACTCAACATAAACATCCACTTCATCCAAATGCAGGTATATATACGCACATTAAGAGGATTAAGAGGACCAAATAGAGAAGAGAGCACTTACATAAATTTGAAGATCGATGCAGGAAACCTACTCCCAAGATCTAACCGATAAGAAAAAAAAATTGTCTATCAAATTGTCCGCCGATGCACTTTTTAGTTGGAGACAGACAAACAGACAAACAGACAAACAAACAAACAAACACCAACCAACCAACCAACCAACCAACCAACCAACCAACCAACCAACCAAGCAACCAAGCAACCAAGCAACCAAGCAACCAAGCAACCAAGCAACCAACCAAGCAACCAAGCAACCAAGCAACCAAGCAAGCAACAATTAAACAAAATCCCCGGAAAGGTTCACCACTGATTGGATTTGGACATTGAGCGATCCTGTCTACCTGGCCCGTGTTCTTCATTCCTGACCTTGCTACGCGCGTGGCGATTCGCATGGACCCGTCGGGGAAGGCCTTGAAGTAACGATAGCCACTCTTGGCGTCAGAGGTGACCATGCAGTGGATCTGGCGGTCATCTGTTTCCAACATTTGTTGGGTCCTGAAATAGTGAGATGTCTTGACACAAACATTTAGATTTTATACCGGTATCCGCTACACCTGTTCTGCCGTCAAAAAGCTGGCCTAGTCTGATTCCAGTGGAACATGAACAGGGTGATTGGAAGTTCCACCATGGGACATGACAGGAAAATGGCACACCCACCATCCATCGGGACCCATCAAAACCACATTCAAACCATCTATATATGATATATATATAGTTATATATATAGAAAGAGAGAGATAGATGTTTGTGCAGTTCGTCACACTGCAGGTGCGCACCGCATTTCGCTCCGCTGTTTCGCTCCGCTCCGTCGTCGTGTGTTGCATCGGTCCCGGGGTCCGGGTCGTGCAGGACGGTGCAGGACGGATGGGTTGGTCTTTCGCGTGGTCTGTGCACCCAGCTTTTGGATCTCGATTTGGAACTCGCGAGCTAATTGGAAGTTCTTCTTTTGGATCTCCCAGCTTTTGGATCTCCCTTTGGACTTTGGAACTCCCGATTTTGCATCCAGCTTTTGGAATGTTCTTCTCACGCATGACTCGTGGCTAAGAGATGGGCTTGACCGAACGGCTCACCTCAGCATCCCAATAGAAATGTTTCAATTCATGTTCCCGAGATTGTTTCCCACTGTTTGTGAACAGGTCAAGACTTGACTTCCGGAAAGGAAGATGGAGATTCACCAGTCGGATAGGTGATGGTTTTGGGGGTGGGATCCTGTCTCCCAAACACCAATCACCCCGGCTGACCTCCTAAAGGATGTGGACGACCATCGGTTTCAACCTCTCATATTCTTTCGGGGGTCCAGGTGTTGACCGTTTAAGAACTGGACACATCCCTCTTCTCTTCTCATCTGACTGAGCCACTGTGTTGAAGAGGGGCTCCAGTTTGCGGAAGTGCCGACCCCATTCCGTGCCCATCAAAGAGCTCATCCTCCAGTCTCCACCTGCATCCTCGTCTTCACCACATCGAAGGGCTGAGTCACCAAGGCTGAACCCGCCGCGCACACCTCAGGGGTCAGCGACTCCACTGATCCAGGTTGCAAGTGGAATCCAAAGGCTCCGAGTTGGATTGGGTTTGAAGCTTCCTTGGTGCTCTCCAAAGATGGTCCTTGGAACTCATACAAGTACGGATTCCATGCTCTTTTCCACTTTCTTGGGGGAAGTTCTTCAGATTGAATGCTCAAACGTAAGCACACTCATCAGTCATGAGCATTCCCTATCGATTCACATACCCTCTGACTTTGAGGTGAGTGGACACTCTTTGAATCTCTTTAATGTATACTTGGAGGGTCCAACTACCTAACTACCTTCTGAGAAGGCACGTGGCTCCAGAAAGGGCCCTATAGGGCTAGTCGTGCCGAGATTGAAATAGGAACCCCACCTCCCCACCCCCCATTGCAATTCCAAAAGGGTTCCGTGCATCTGATCCAAACAGACGACAGGCAGTGGAATCCATCAGCGTTCCGGTAGCTCAATACCAACGGGACATGCTCGTCGGTCAACGAGCCCACCAAAAGCCACGTCGCTGCGGCTCGGTGGTCAAACTATTCCCATGTGCTCCAAATTCCCCGCCAGAGGGTGGTCGAGCTGGTGCGAAAAGGATATACTTAGAGCGCCCAACATCCATTCTACAAGCTGTAGCATGGGCCACAAGCTACATCTTGGAAAAGATTCATGTTCGACAACAATGTGTTCAACATCAACATTAACAAATCCTTTTCCACGACATCGGCTGCAACATTGAAATGTTCAATATCTAATTCCACAACATTAAGGACATATAATATCTGAACCTGAATGACCTCTATGTTGGATCACCAACTACCCCAAATATGGTCTATTCATGTCTATTCAATCAAAACAGGGGTCCATGTTGGGTTCTAGGTTACCTCTCTTTGCTCGATCCTGTCACGAAAAACATCCACTGGGCCCTCCAGGCGCCGCTGATCGCCGCACAAGTCATAGCGCGTTGCTGCATGGCTTTGCGGTCAAACTCCTGGGGCCATCGGTGATCCGGACCCTCGCGTCGCGCGTCGCTACACACACAGCGACACAGTGGCAACTGGACAGTGGCCCACGCAAAGGCACTTCTGTAGATGTGCAAATGATTGATCAGGAATCAAACCATCGAACTCCCTGTGAAAGTAAGCAAATGGAGCCCTGAGTAGTGCGGCTTGTGGTTTGAGTCAAGTGAGGATGAATAAGTCCCCGAAAGATGTCCCACAGCTGAGGGACAATAGCCAAGTGAATGACCAACATCAGCCCCCTGAAGTGCCAACTGTCACTCTGGAAATCCCTCGAGCCTTCAATCCATCTGGTTTGTTGCTAGAGGCCAACATCGTCCTTGTCTTTGAAGTCCCTTCCCTTCCCCTCCCTCCCTTCCCTTTCCAGGAATTGCCCTTTCCTTTCCTTCCTGTCACTTCTTTCAGGAAATCAACCTTTGTTTTTTGCAAAAGGCTGGATCCAAAATTGGTTGGTGTCACATTATACCAGTGGTGAACTCAAACAACTCAGTTAGTTTGAGAAGCACATGTTTGGGTCCACCACATGCCACCCTTCTTTTCTTCACCGAGCCACAGGAACTCTGATGGATTCCATGCAGTCGTTTTGGTTCAGGCCGGAACCCTCTGGGGACCCCGTGTTTCCTCATCCAGCCTTGGCACTACTATAGTGGGTTGAAAGTAGATGTAGCAATCCCCCATCTAAAAAACGTCCTCTGGTGCCAGTGCCATCCACTCTGAAACCAAGGTAGTGAAGTACGTAGGAGGTCTGCTACAACCCCGTGGGGGCACAGCTTTCAACTAGCGGAGAGACCGTTGAAGATCCAGCTTGCAACTTGCCTTGAAGGGTGGGGAGTGGGGAACAATCACTCACAATTCTCAAAAAAGCTGGACAAGGATATCAAAATGGATTGGATGAGCTGTGATGCTGCAACAAACTGCACTCATCTTTAAGTTGGAGATCAGAAACCCATGAGCGATCGTGATCATCTCCCATTCAACTTTGTTGTGCCTAATTTGGCATCCTACTTTTGGCATGGGATCTCTTCTGAGACCGGCTACCGAATTGGCGGAGTGGACTCTGAACTCTGAACATGCTGAACATTTCATGATCCATGCCGACTTGCACCGCGCTCCGGCATCACCTGCCCCCCCTGAAGCCCACACCTCCCTCTTTTCTTCCTCTGGCTGATTCGATAAGCCCAGCCAAACTCAGCTCAGGACTTGTTCAACTTGAAGCCCAACGTCGATTCGCAAGACTCCAAATGTTTGGGTCGTTCTCCATCGAAAGCTCCCCAACTTTGCAAGAGCCAATTTGGCAGTGATGGCAAAGATTGGCAGAGCCACTCAAGCCTCAGTGACTGGATGAAGGACACCCTACATCATTAGGGAATATATATCATCATTATATATATTATTACAATATGGCATCTGGTACGGAAGGCACCCCATACGGTGATGGTAGTATCAACCAATAACTAGGACCCCTATTCAGGTGTCCTGTTCCCTATTGCTTGTTGCGACCTACTGCAAACAAGACACAGTGTTTTCAGGCCTGTTCAAATTGGATATACACTTGCATTCTAAATGTTGCCAGTCAGGCTTAAATCTCTTATAAAAAAAGATTGCACGGCCAGCCACATTTGAAACGATGGGTTTTAAATACAAGAAGATTAGAGGATTATTGAACTGCATTTGAGGTTTAATCCCAACATGGGTCGCTGAGTGAGGCACTGGAGCGTTTGACTCTTGGCAGATTGGATTTGGCCCAACGACCATGGGAAAATTTGGGGAACACATGTTCTATTGCGAGTGGGATTGGCAGATTCGTTGAGCCCACCAAGCCAAATGCGGGGCCTTGGGATGAACTGATCTTCAGAGGTAGAGGTTGAACATCACAATTATCTGAGAACCACTAACCAGCAAAAGAATAGGATAAGGTCAAAAGCATTAACTGCCAGTCAGTCTCTGCGAACTTAAAAGCACATGGCTTTCCTCGGCAAGTGATCCTACCTTGAAGACAGAATTAATTCATTGGAGAGATCATGCAAGCAACCCTTCCTTGTCCATTCCAACTGCATTTTGATTGCTGATCAGCCATGTGCGGGAGTGCAGGTTCCCGAAGTGGAACAGGCCAACCAGTGACGACAAACTGGACCAGGAAATACTCTACCAGGGGATCCAGGCAAACCACCAAAAATGCCACTGGTAACCAGTGGTTCCAAAGACTAAAACCACTGACCTAGAAGTCTTGGTTCCTTATTACAAAGTGGCAACTGGGATCGTCTGGGATGGGTTTGGAGCTCGTGTACCGGTTCAATGTGCCTAAGTCCAGTGAGCAAATCCCCTGCCAATACCCACCGACAGGCTGGGCTGTGGGTTCCTAACAGGTTTCTGGGCACTGGACTTGTCACCAGGAAACCCCTGGACTGGAGAGTCCGGAAGATAAAAACACTATATATATATATGATTCGATCCATTGCACAGCGAATCTTGAAGCTACCTCGCATCTCTCTGACCAACACCGTTCCACATCAACTGTCGCCCGGAGGCATTCGCACTGGAAACACATCCGGCACCACGACCATCACGTCTCCGACGTGGCCACAATCTCGCCGGGGCCCAGGTTCACCGCCTCGCCAAAGAGGAGCTGGGCACCCCAGCTTCACCGTGTCCGTGAAGACGACGGGGAGCAATATCTCACCAAACATCGATCAAATTGGCTCCACATCGATCTATGTATTATCCACCAACGAAAGGTGCATTGGACCATTGGAGATGAAAATAATTGAAAAATAGTTCAGTTCTAGAATACTAGAAGGGTGGTGAATTATGGTGAATCCTTGAAGTGCCAACCCAAATCCACTGCTTTATTGATTTTCAGAACCTGAAGCATCAGTTCCTTCTGGTGTGGAAGAAAAACTCACTTACAAATACTATCAAACACTTACACATCATGAGTGTTTGGGTCTTTACAGTTCAGTCAGTTTTGGATTTCTACAAATCCACATAATATCATACAATTTCATAGATTTGCATTGGTGCACCGGCACGCGGCCAGGCATTTTGGATAAGAATCGAAGCGAAGGCGGACTTCTGCAGTCGTTCGGTCGAGAACGGCTAGAGTAGGCAAGCAATGGATGGCAATGTCTTCATGCGACGGCTCCAAACCAAGACCGTCCATGGGACCGGAACAGTTACATGTGTATATATATATATATATGCACCATCATAAAAACCCCATGTGTTCATGACCCATCCATGTGGTCGTAACTCTTCCAGTCCCATTCGTCTGGTCTGGGAGAATGCAACATGCGAGCCGAATGCCGGACTTGGCGACCTTAAAAGTGGTGATGCAAAGTTTCAACGCTGTGAGCAAGCAAGGCCCGGTGACCAGTTACGATCAAGGCCCGGTTGAAAAGTGAGAACCAGTAGTTACTAGCTATCTGGGGAAAATTGAGATTCCAAAGACCTGTAGAGGGGCTGCGTTTTGAAGTTCAACCATGTGCATACTGGAATTGGGAGGCTCTGCCCAACAACCCCCCCACAAAAAAACACGCACAAAATGGGTTCCAGAGTGCTCCAGCCTCCCCATCAACTCCACCACGACCCAGAACCGCACCTGCTCCGAGCCGTCCATGCGGCGCTCAAAGCGGACGACGAGGCGCGTGTCGCTGTACTCGCCCAGGACTTGGCCCAGGGTCCCAGACTCCACCAAAAGGATGGCCTCCGAACCCACTTCTGCTCCGACCCGACACAAGGTTTCTGGCGTCGACGTGAAGTTTTCAGCGCAGCCAAGCTGAACCGGCAGTGGAACCATGAGATATGCATACCAAGATTTCATTGAAGATAAAACAGTCAAAATCGATGTGACCTGATCTTGTCATCTTGGTTCATCCCAAAAATGTTGGGGCAAGTCTACTACAACCCAAAAATACCGATACCCAAAGCATCAAACGCAAATACAACGGTCCAGGACCAGGGCCGCAAACTTGGAGAAGAGCAAAAGCAAAGACTATCATAATACATCATAATACCATATGCCTGTACAGGCTTCAGCTTTGCGAGTGTGTAACCTGTATTGGAACGTTTGATTGTCATTCAGAACACACGAAGGTCGAACGGATACGTGTTTTTCCGGTTCAACTATTGACCTCCAGGCCCTAGGGATTTGAGACCTAGAATCACCCATCCAAGTGCACCAAAATGTTTTATATACACATTTTGAACGCTCTCTGAAGTTTGAACGGGTACGGGATCGAACACACACGGGTATGCAACATTTTTGTGCCTCAGCCCGTGTTTGAGCGGGCCCGAATGGTGCTGAACAGGTGCACCCAGGTTCCCGTATGGTTTATGTCAGGAAAGGCAAACACGGGTTCTAACGACAAATGTTGGGTCTGAACGCATAATTGGCCATATCCGGTTAAATTTTGTGAGCACACTTGCAATACAGGTCGTAATTGCTTTGACTTGCTGGTTGAAGAGAGCTATATGACAGGATATGACCGGTTACTATCCAGATATATACAGTATATCATTTACACTCGGGTGACAGACACAGCAGGGGGCTGCGGCCCTACTTTGCAACCCGCAGATTTTGTGGGTCACGGAAAGTACATGTGGCAAGGCCCGCTCCCACAACGTACTGAAATCTACCATCCTCTGCGGGCTGGTGCGAATCCATATTCGTAGCTGATGAACTCAGCGTGCGCACGTGTGTGCTCGACTGGACCAAGGCGCATTGGGACAAAATGAAGTCAATGGCGTTGATGTTTTCAAAACCATACCCCCGAACCCATGTGTCCCGGTCGAAAGCCCGCAGATCAGCTGCTGGGCATCTTATACGAGCTGCATGATGAGCCACTTCCAACCGAAAAGGTGGTGCAGGTTCTTTTCCAGGTGCTCTTGCCTGACTCGACTTTATGCCACTGGAGACAAGTTTCACCGGATTGCTGCGCCCATGGCACCAAAACTTGAGTCACGTCAGGTTTGAAAGGCCTCAGTGTTGCTTCCAACCCAGAATTCACTCGGCGCTGTGTCCTCACGGTTCTGAATGGCCTCCACCTTCCGCAGGCCCCCCATACCCCAGCCGGACTTTAAGCCTTGGATGAGACGTCGAAAGTCTTGCGATCGAACTGCTTTCTTTTTATAAAGAAGGATAGCCAAGATTCGCGTTGTCTACAAATGTTTCATGGGGCAATTTATGAGCAGACCACAGGCTGTCTACCCAAGCACCCTTGACAGTGTAGTGGGTCCACAGCTCATACTCGCTTGTGGCAACTGCAATGGCCCCTTCCTCCAAAATTTGTTCTGAGCACTGGCGCGGCCTGACGAACCGCCAGTCCTTGGCCGCGCAGACATGGAAATGCAACTTGACCTCGCTCAAGCTGTTCCAGTCTGAAGAAGTGTGATATATATATATATATGAATAAAGGCATGGTAGTGCGTTCTGCCTTCAGTGGCGCTAGCCAACAATGCTTCTGTCGTCGCTGTCCAGCAGCGCAAATTGCAGGCTGCGAATCCAAAGAAAAAGGGTGGCCGAGCACTGCCAAAGCATGTGGGCTACCCCATTGCCAGGCGCACCAGGGGCTACCAACTACCAACAAGGGGTTCAAGGGGGGGCCTAAATTTGCCACAAGCGGCGCAAAGTCGAATCAGCCCAACAAAGTCAAAGTCAGTAGCTGATAGTACGTAGATAGAGAGCATCACCTCACCGGTGTCAGGGTGGCCGGGCATTGCCGAAGCAATGTGAGTCACCATATTCCATATTGCCAGGCGCACCGGGGCTACCAACAAGGGGGAGCCAAAGTTTGCCGCCAGCGGTGGGAAGTCGAATAAGCCCAACAAAGTCAAAGTCACGTAAATAGAAAGCATCTGCCTGTAGGCAAGGGCTAGGTTTGCAGTTGCCACCGCGCTTCTAAGGTTGAAATTCACTGCTCCGGCGCAATCTCAAACGTCTGGGTATGAGAATTGGCTGCGTGGGCACACCGCGCGGGCCAGAATTGCCGGCG